TTATAATACAAAATATTTATTAAGAATGTATATTATGTAATAACTAAATAAAATCATCAAATTCCCAAATTGACTATATACATATAATATTTTTAAAATTACATAATTTAATTAGAATGTTACCAGTTTTGCATGTTTTCATAAAAATTCGCAAAATGATATTCATATCAATAAATATGATTGCATATAAGCGTATAAAAATATAAACCAAAAGAGTAACATGCGGCTGTAAAATCAACGCAAGTCCTGAGCATAATTTTTATTCAATGCTCAGCTCTGTTCACTCGCCACTGTTAAAATTTCTCCTTCCGAGCCGACTGTGGTGAAACACGCTCATCGCATTTTGTTAGGTTTTGACAATTCACACGCTGGTCCGTAGTTGGACCTTCTCTATATTTTACGTTCTCTGGCAGCGAGCTGTTACGAACAAGAACACAAAGCGTGCCACCCGAACACGAGTGGCACGGTCCCTTCGTCTTTCCTCGTCGTCCCCTCGCCCACAATAAACTGGTTTGAGACTCAAAAGAGTCCCTGTGTAAAAGTGCACTATGAGGTTTTGTTTGTTTCGAATTCCTTTGCGGTTCGCAACGAGAATTCTACCAAATAAACAAAAAGGCGAGGGTTGATGATGATTATAAATGGATGAATTGGACGACATGACCTGTGGATGCTCGCACACAAGGTTATATTATACCAATCATTTTGTACCTTGCTGAAAAATGTTTTGGTTTGCTGCGAGTGAGTTTCCACAGAACATCGTAGAATGACTGGTTCTATTTTGAATCGAACCTATTTTTATGTCAGTTTACTGGATATACATAGGCCTGTACAAGTGCAAATTATTAAAATACAAATGTATACATACATATATGCATATATACAAGATATGTTGCCAATTAAATACATACAAGTATATTTACATACATACACTATGTACATATGACATAAATAAATAATTGTGGCTTTGCTCATAAAATATTCACTACTCGGAATAATCACCCAACTACAGAGCACATTTATGTAGTCAATATGTGCCATTAGTATTATTAGGGGAGAAAATAATATACATGCATATGTACATATGTATGTATAATTTACTTGATTTCAATGCTTTAATGTGTATATTTCCTGTAATTTTGTAGTGAGGCGACACGGTTAAAATACGTTACCATACATACATACCTACATATTGTACATATGTTCATATAATATGAATTGTAAATATAAAGGACGCACAGCGTAAATCTCTGTAAATATTCACTAAGCCTCACTGTGCGACGTTGCGCCAGCCTTGCGTAAGATATGTATGTTATGAGCCCTCGTGTCACGCAACACACTAAAACGATTGCAATGGGTTCTACTTACTTACAAACATACTTACATATGCCTGCACAATATACAAACTGTTTATTTACTAGCGCGTTTATCTTTTGCGACTTCAATGGTAAATTATGCTGCTGGGGTCGGGCTCTTCGAATCGGTTACGTCGAGAAGGGTGCATAAAGTGGGAACAGTTGTGCCGTAATTTAGTAGATATTGTTATATGTATGTACTTATATAAAGACAACAGCACTTTATTGCATGAGAATTATTTCATATAATATAATATAATATAACATTAAAACACTACCATATTTGTTTCTCCTGGACTAGACTTTCAAGTGCCTATACTCTCAGTTATTGTTTTCTATTCACAAAACAATAATTTATTATAGTTAATCTACATCGGTGAAGAGGGTCCACATTCACACACGTGAAACTACTAGATAATCTTACATTTTATTTTTTATGTACTTATGTTTGTAGGTATGTAAGTAAGTACTTTTATTTGAAAGAGTTACAAGGGAACGATGGGAACAAGGTTTTACATAAGTATGTACAATACTATGTACCTACGAATACATACCAACACCACAAGTATTTTTGGTTGTATGCACATCTAAAGCTCCGATGTGGTAATAAAACATAAAAAAGTTAACAAAAGCGGTACTTTTAAAATAGAAAATATTTGCTGCTGTCTTAGAATTGTTTGTCCAACCGCGTTAGTACAAAAAAATTACTACCGAAAATGTTAATAAAATATCAAATATTTGGAGACAAAACAAAAGCTCTATCAACACAAGTAAGAAAGTAAGTCCATATATAACCGAATTATTCATTATTCGGCGAACTTATATAATATTATAGTTTTATTATTTACATATAAGTATACTGAACAAAAAGAGCTGAACTTAATATATTGGCTATATTAGGAAAATGTCAATCAGAGAACCGGAAACCAAATCGAGAACGTGTAACTGCACTATTTGTACAAAGTTTTATTCCGATAACTTCATTATTCTTTGATTTATACGAGTATACTGATATTTCGATAATATCATTGGTGTTTGATTTATATAAATATGGTATATACTGTGGAGTGAAAGCATCATATGGAATTGAAAATTACAAAATAAGAAAAGTAGGGTGGGTGTAATTCGATTTCGCTCACACTTGGTCGGATAGATCTTGAGATATTGGATTTCATCTAAAAGTGGTGGGTGCCACGCCCATTGTCGAATTTGTACACCATTTCCTATTAAGACATCCCGCTTAATTTTGGTTGTGAAATTAAATGCTTTTAACATATATATTTAGTGAGTTATCGCACGTTTAGGACCTTCAAACATAACAGTTATATGGATAGTGGGTTTTTTTCTCACTGTCTGAGGAAATGCTGGATAGACTTGTCCTCTACAAGTTTCATTAATACAGTTTTGTGGTTTGTGAGATATGTCCTTTAAACCTTTTAGGAGGTTTCAAACCATATATGGCTCTTTCTGCTGCAGTTCCCTGTTACAAATTACAGTTTTGTATCTTAAGTTATCGCTGGCACGTACGGACGGACGGTCAGTCAGAATTCAACTCTTCTCGCCTTCTTTATTAATTATACTTGTACATACCTATATACATACATGTACATATCTATTGTATCTCAATTAGTTTTAGGTGTTATGTGAGCAAAACTATTATACTCTGTTTCAATATATTGCAAGAGTAGAATAAAAATATCAATTAAAGATGTTTAAAGTTGAGACCTCAACGGCTTAGAATTTGAATTAATTGGGTAAATTTTTTATATCAATAGTCAGTTAAAAGGTTTTTTTTTTTAACAGAAATGTGAACAAGTTATTCTAAACTTAATTAACATTTAACAAAATACGCTATATAACAGTTTTTTACTGGAAGTAAAGGTTTAAACGGAACTTTACGGAAAAGTATCGACCCATTCCCCGAAGCTTTTTTTTTATTTTTAGGAAAATTCAGATTTTGTTTCAATATTTTATTAAAATTACGTCAATCCTTCCTGCATTTCAGCATAAAGTTTGGTGACTTTATCACGCATAATATTAAAAGTTTTTTTTTATTGTTTTTACGAAATATTTTAATACCATTTTAAGTGTTGAAGTTAAGCTTACTAATTGTCCACCAAAATTTGTCTAAAAAACTAAAATTTTTCGTTGAGCGTTGGCAGCTCTATGTCGCATAATTTAACTTCAGTTCGGAGGCAGATTTGTTTATGATAATACAAAATTTAAAGATGTTTCCAACATTTGTTTGGTTCCACTTTGATGCCAATCCGGATTGTTTCTACTTCGGAGGTATTGTTGTCATACAGATACATATACATATGTATGTATTCGAATATACCAACAAGTAAGTTAAGTTTCTGTATACATATGTGATGCTTTCCAAACCAGTGGCATTGTATTTCACCTGAAAGAAACAGACACACAAGTGTACAAATATTTTATCCTGTCATGAATACGTATGCAGACAATAAACGGCCTTAACCGAAATAGAGATCACTTTTGTACATAGCTTATTTTTATGGTCTACGTGTATACAAATGTAATGTATACATACCATATGTATATTGTAATAAAATAGCTTGTCACAGCAAAAAGAAGTAGCTCGACTTAATAACTCTAATTCTTGCTCAGCTTTGTATAAGCCTATATTTTATATATAGATTTATACAATGCTCATTATCTATGAAGAATGTACGAGTATAATCCCTTATAGTCGATGGTAGATCTTATGGTAGATTCCATGGATAAATTGCGTTCTTATAATCCTCCATACAGCTTACCATATGAACATACGCTCATACATACACCTCTGCACAAAGGAGGCACTTTACGGATAGGCTTCTATGAACGCTGTCGATTATGTGCGCATTTGGTGATTATATACGCATTTGGTTGTCGCGACTTTTGTTATGATATACATTACCTTTGTAACTTTGGCGAATTTGTCGATCCCTTCTGGTTGCCTCAATTATAAGCTGTCATTTATTACACTTAAAATGGGTATTAACGACTCATGAAAACTGTTATGTTATATATTTACGTTTTCTTGAATGCAATCGAACTCAAATTAGAAAATAGAATAAATCAAAAGAGGTCAGATTTAAATGAATAAACCAATAAATGGAGCTTCTCTCAAGTGCCGCCTTCGATAGAAAGATAGAAGATAGAAAATAGAGAAAATTAGAGCAACTTGTAACATCACATCAATGAAAGTCGCAAAGGAACGAAGTTTTCATAAAGGGAAACAACTTAAATGGCTGCTACTTTTGCTAAATTTTGTAGTCAAAGCATAGAGAAGATACAGTGGAAATTTTGTATGGCTCGGTAAATAAATAGTTTAAATCAAGGATTTCAATTTCTTAAAGTTAATCTGTACAAAAACTTTCCGGGAATAAATATGTAGTATGTAATAAGTAGGTAAACATAGTAAAACCAGAGAACGTAAAGCAATTTGTGTAAGTATGTTCTTTAGTAAAACTTTCATTAAATTTGCAGATATCAAGAGCACTGCTACTTTAATCAATCCAATATCTTTAAAATCATAATCTTGAAGATTTTATTATTAGATTTCAAAGATTTGTATATATGTACTTTGTGTTTTTAAATCATAATCACTGTTATAACGGCCGGCTTGTATTTTTATTTCAGTGGGCTTCCCGATCTTATGCTTTTACTTGTGGGGCACTGCATATCAGCGTGGATTTTTTTGTGACGACGAATCGCTGAAACACCCTTTCAAACCCTCAACAATTCGGAATTGGATGCTATATTTTATAGGACTAGTCCTACCGATTGGATTGGTAAGTGAAGGGGATCACAAAGTTTAGTTCGGTAAAACTGAGAATGTTATATCTACGAAAGAAAACTACTACGAAAGGGTGCCCATGTATGAGATTGAAAAAACATTTAGAGCTTAAGCAATTCATCGGAACCGACGTAGTTTCGAGTTGAGTTGAGTTTACATAGAGCTACATATATTGGCAGCCATTCTCAACTAAAAACAGAGTATTTGGATTTATTACGCAACTTTGTTGGTTGCTGAATAGTCAAATAAAGTGCCGAAACTATTTTTGAGGGTAATTAAAATTGTCTTGTTCTACTTTTTTATCGCATTTAAAGCATGAGTTCTGGGAAGCAGATGTTCTGGCACATTTGTTTGTACATTCAGTTAAGTGCCACATTGTTGAGGCGACTACATCCAGTATTTTCAATTTTAATTCGCTCTTACCATTAGTTGACACATATCGCCAAGTGACACCAGCTGTCGATCTGTTACAATTCAAAATTCATTCAAGCAGCATCACAAAAAATCAATCGCCCATTTTACACATTTTCAAAAGTACTATGCACTTGCATATCATTTTTATATACCATAGACATGCAATTTACAAACAGTTTTGTGTTAAAAGTTCTGAGAAGCACATGATGCCATACATAATTCTAGAAATTTTTGATTTTAGTGCTTCATTTAAAACAATTAGGGAAGCGCTAAGTTCAGGTGTAACCAATCTAAAGTCGAAGTCGAGACGCTCTCTGAATTTTATTAAGATGCTCATATACTGGTCGTTTTATGCGGTATAAATTCAACTGGAAATTTGAAAATCTTTATATTAGGTATATGATGGTTAGGGAAAATTATTCCGATTTATTTTTGACACAAGGGCATATTATTACCAGAAAAAAAGTTTTCTGAATTTCAATAACACATCTCATATATTGATTTACAGATCAAAATTCAGCTGTAGACACTAGGATTCATATATAATATGTATTTGGTATCTGAGGGTTGAAAAGTTATTGTGCGATTTCGACAATTTTTGAACGTGAGATTGCAAGCCATAAAAGCACTATTTGTACAAAGTTTTATTTCGATGACTTCATTTTTGTACTTTAAAGTGAAAGAATCATATGGAATTAAGCTGTGATATGTGTTGTTTACATATTTGATTGAAATTGGTAGTGTAGGTTCTGTGATATAGAGTTTCGCCTAAAGGTGGGCGGCGCCCATTGTCCAATTTTGATAGCGGCTCCTGTATCATGAATGATCTGAAATTGAATGCTTCAGAAGCATTTATTTATATGATTTTTGTAATTTTCAACATAACCGTTATATAGAGAATATGCGGGGGTTATCATACAATTTCATTCATACCCACACAGTATGAGGATGTGCCAATTTAACTCGTTCTCAGCAGGATTGGTCGATTTAGTTTTAGTGGTTCGTGAGGTATATAATTTAAATCTATTTAAGAGCGGTCCAGCCACTTTTTAAAAATTGTCAGCTCTTGTATCAAATCATATGTTTTATCTTAATTTGAAGCTTAATAGTAGCTCTTCATAAGTTTTCAATTAACGGTACTTTGTGGGCGTGGTAAAGATCCTATTCCCGCCATCTGTAATGCCAATCTTCTTATGGTGCCATAGTCTATCAATATATCATAATTTTTACTCAAGTTATAGTTTGCACACGACAGACGGATAGACAGTCACCCAAAATGCAACTAGTCTCGTCATCCTGAATATTTGCACTTAGTCTTGGCATAAACTATATTTCAAAGTTTACAATGCATATAGCGAAGATAAATTCGCAGAAAAAAGTATCGTTATTATACTCTTGCAAAATCTTGCTACAGAGTAAAATAATTTATTCACCTAACGATTGTTTGTATCACCCAAAACTTATCGAGTTAAATATAGGGTTATGTATATATAAATGATCAGGATGAAGAGACGAGTTGAAATCCGGATGACTGTGCTAGCTAGGAGAGTAACCACGCCTATTTCTCATATAATAATATCCAACGATTACCCTCCTCCCGGCCACGACACGAGGGGCGCAATCCGCATACGTGCGGATTTAGCCGAGTCAGAAAAGGTAAGAGAGTTTTTTAAGTGTTGACATCTAAAACTGCTCAGCTACAGAAACAAAAATTTCAACAGCTAAGATTTATATTGTAGTTACAATATAATAAATTGTTACATTTTCATTTATTAAGAGGAAACAATAAAGTCTTTTTAATTTTGAAAAGTGAGTCAGATAAGTCAAATGTGCTGGATTTTGAATTAAAATCATGACATCATGACATGACGACCGAATGGCTCGTTTAGTTCAAAATTTGATCTACATGATTTTAACAGTAAAGGTCTAAACTGCCTCGAAAAGCGAATCGGGATATTAAATTTAATTTCAGACAGGAGAAAAGAACTGGAAACTGTTCCATTCAAGATTTTCACTAAGAATATTATGCCAAGCATTTCCCTACGACTAGAAAGTGTAGGTAGATTAATAAGTTTTAAACGACTAGTGTATGGAGGTAGACTTACCCTAGCATCCCATCGGAAATGCGCTAAGGCAAAAAGTAAAAATTGTTTTTGAACCGACTCTAACTTGTCAGAATGGATTTGGTAGCTAGGGTTCCATACAACAGAGCCATATTCCAATATAGGTCTAACCAAAGTTGTATAAAGTGTTTTAGTAATATACGGATCTCTAAATTCTTTAGACCAACGTTTAACAAAACTGAGGACAGCTTTTGCTTTCAAGACCATGGTATCAATATGAAGACTGAAATTAAGCTAGGGTCCATATTAACTCCCAAATCAACATAGTTTAAAACTTGCTCTAGAATATGGTGTTTTATTACATAAGAAGAGTGGTGCACAGATCTACGGGAAAAGCACATCATTTTACATTTATTGAGATTCAATGGCAAATCATTTCTATCCAAATTGTTTAAGTCTGTTTGCAACAGACACCTTTCCTCAGTTGAAGTGTATGATTTAAAAAGCTTGACGTCGTCAGCGTGTATATAATATCATTCACTTGAAATGATAGATTTGTATTTCATTGTGGATGGAAATTTGGAAATCCTGCGTTTGGAGTTGACGAAGTCATAAAACGATTTTGGATTACTTACAATATTCTTTTTTACTTTATTTAATTAATTATTATAACATTTTTTGTTTAGGTCAAAATATTGTCGACGCAATAGAGAATATTTAGAATAGTCGACAAGTGAACCAGTTTTTTTAAAATGTTTAAAGACTCGAGTTTTTCTGTATATATATAACTCTGTATTTATATAACTCTTTCGAAAACCACGGACTTATACTTTTGCTTTTATTAACAATTACTATTGGAAAATACTTTTCAAATAATTTCATAATAATGTTGTTAAAATAAGAGACACTCAATTCAATGTCACCATTATAAGTAGGCCATGTTATTGTAGAAAGTTCTGTATTTAACTTTTTAAAATTAGCTTTTGCAAAGTTAAACCGAGTACAGAAGCACGAAGTTTGATGATTATTATCCCGTACATTGCCTGAGATTTCGACAGATATTTCCAAAGCAGGATGATATGAGTCCTCTGGTAGAACAGGAGGATTACTCTGAATAACGGAACACTTTGAAGAGGTATCAACGTATACTAAATCTAAGCATTTACCAAATTTATTCGGAATCAAATTAATTTGGTTCAGACCCAACTCGGACATTTTTTCGAAAAACTCATTAAAACATGACCGATTGCAAATCGGCACGATATAGTCATCGAAAGGTTTCCACGAAGCACACGGTAAATTGAAATCCCCTAATACAATTATTGAATCTGCATTATTTGCCATCGAGGTAGCACGATTTATTAAAGAAGCATGCTGCATGTATACAGACAAGTCCGAATGGGGTGGTATATAAGATAGGGTTAAATAAATAAAGCAACTATTAACGTAGACTCTAATACATTTAAATTCAAATGAGTCGGTCCCTGAAACAATAATATTTTCAGATGGGGTAGAGGAATGCACGGCAAATAGAACACCTTCACCGATTCTGTTCAGTCGATCACATCTAAAAATTTGAAATTCGCTGTTTAAAATCTCATTATCAAAAATGTGAGGTTTTAACCAAGTTTCTGTAAATCCAATTATATGGAAATTAAAGTTGGAACTATTCAAATACAAGTCGGTTAATTTTGTATTAAGACCTCTAACATTTTGATAATAAATGCTTAGCGAATTTCTACCAATCAGTTTTTATATCGGTGGTTGCTTTTGGTAATTTAGCAATGTTTTCCTCAGTTTGACTTCTAAGTTTAGGTTTAAATTCGCGTACAAAAGCCCCAGGTGACCAGAATGAACTATCTAAGATCTTTTTGAATGTTTCAAGAGTTACGTCTATTTTAAACGATGGTATACTTCTATCATAACTGAAGTTAAATTTACGGATATTGATATCATCAATTTTTAAACGTGACGACTTAATGTCCTCCACCGAGGTATCTTTGGCAAGTCTAGGAATAAATATAGACTTTTTAGGTGGAATAATTACCAAATTTTTAATAGATGTTACTAAGTTATTAGGGGGAGCCTCTGGAATTGTGAGACACTTACTTCTATTAGATAGAGCTTTTGAGGAATTGAGCTCTTTGGAAGTTGATGGCTTATCACCTTGAGGGCATAGAGAAGAGAGATGTATTAGGTCATTGGGCGGAGACGTTTTTTTCTGTACAGAAGAACTAAGTGTTACTTCATCGGAAGAACGTTTACGCTTAGGAGCAGGTTTGGAGGATTCATGAGAATCATTCGGGCACTTAAAAGATTTGAACAATTTTTCGTAGTGCCTAAATTTTTCAGTGAGGATTACAAGATCTCGACCGATTTCGTTAAGCCATTGCGTGTCTCCCTATAAACTTTAAATAGATTGATTTCAATAGATCTACAATTTAAACAGGACCAACACAATCCCTTACAGTCGAGAATATAATCTAAGATTCTACCTGTCAGTCCAGCACATTTAATATGGGCAAGCCCATTACAAAGTCAGCATGAAACATAGCGATCTGACTCGCCTTTAATGTTACAATTGGGGAAGTTACAAGACATAATAAACAACAAGAATGAAGATCAAATAAAAGAGTAAGTAAAACAAAATTTAATAGATGTAATATAAATTAGTGTGTTAATAAAATATTAATAATAATAAATTCAATTAAGAACAAACGCAAAAATAATAGCAATTTTTTTTTATCAAAGTTCAAAACCAAGACAGTTTGAAAAAGCAATATAGCGAGCAGTTTTAGATGCACTGGAACAAATAAAAAGCTACACGCAACACAGCTGTGAATAAAGTAGTAAATGAGATAAATAAAGAGAGAAAATAGAATAAAATAAAACAAAATGAAACAAAAAGCTGACTCGCCCCCAAAAATTCGAAGATTTCAACTGTTTAATAATGCACAAAACTTAAGAACATTTAATACTTAGATTGCAACTCAGAGTTAAATCACTAAATATTGAATTAAATCACTAAAAAATCAATTAAAGTTTAAGAATTTTTGCAAAATTAAACACAATAGTTCACAGCAAAAAAAATTACAGCGTTACAGCTTGAAGTGTTGCCTCCTTGATATATATAATATTTTATTTTAAGTTTCATCTGATTCTTTCACTTTCCAGTATGCGAGTCAAGCACCAATAAATGTATCGGGGTAAAACTTTGCGTGAATAATGCGTTTAAAGTATGACATTTGTGATCAAATTGTCTAAATCGAACCGAAACTGTTCAAGTTCCTAGATACTGAATATGTGGACCCCAGTGCCTATAGTTGACTTTTTACCGAAAATATCGGTCAATGTATAAGATATATAATTTAAATGCATATAATAAAATAAATAAATGAAATTCTCGATAACAGTATGTCTTTGTGTCAAAAATAGGTTGAATCGCATCAATACTTCCTTTAATATAAAATTTTGTTAAAACCTGAAGTAATTTCCCTGGCTTTGATCCTTGAAAGTTGCGAGAGTATAAATTGTTCGGTTACATCCGAACTTAGAACGTCCTTACTTGTTTAATATAAAGTTTTGTCAGCACCTAAATGAATTTCCCGGGCTTTGATTCTTGTTTAAAATGTTTGATTACACCCGAACTTAGCCCATCCTTACTTGTTATACTCTCGCAACCTGTTGCTACAGAGTATAATAGTTTTGTTCACCTAACGGTTGTTTGTATCACCTAAAACTAATCGAGTTAGATATAGGGTTATATATATATAAATGATCAGGATGAAGAGACGAGTTGAAATCCGGGTGACTGTCTGTCCGTCCGTCCGTCCGTGCAAGCTCTAACTTGAGTAAAAATTGAGATATCTTTATGAAACTTGGTAGACATGTTTCTTGGTACCGTGAGACGGTTGGTATTGCAGATGGGCGTAATCGGACCACTGCCACGCCCACAAAACGCCATTAATCATAACTAAGCTCCGCAATAAGATACAAGACTGTTATTTGGTACACAGGATCACATTAGGGAGGGGCATCTGCAGTTAAAACTTTTTTTTTTTAAAGTGGGCGTGGTCCCGCCTCTAATAGGTTTAATGTGCATATCTCCTAAACCGCTAATGCTATAATAACAAAATTCACTAGAAGCAAATGTTTTTAGCACTTCTATTGACGGTGTGAAAATAGTTGGGTGACAACTCCGCCCACTCCCCATATAACGGTACTGTTAAAAACTACTAAAAGCGCGATAAATCAAGCACTAAACACGCCAGAGACATTAAATTTTATCTCTAAGATGGTATAAATTGGCTTTATAGGAACCGCGTTCAAAATTAGACAGCGGGCACAGCCCACTTTTAGGTCAAAACCCATATCTTGAGATCTGCTCAACCGATTTCAACCAAATTCGGTGCATAACGTTCTTTTCATGTTTCTATGTCATAGTGCGAAAATGGGCGAAATCGGACTACAACCACGCTTACTTCCCATGTAACACCATTTTTAATTCCATCTGATTCTTTCACTTTCCACTATGCAAATCAATTAACAATGATTATATCGGGGTAAAACTTTGCGTGAATAATGCAATTAAAGTATGCCACCTTGCGGCCAAAAATTGTCTAAATCGAACCAAAACTGTTCAAACCCCTAAGTACTAAATATGTGGACCCCAGTGCCTATAGTTGACCTTCTACCGAAAATATCTGTCAATCCACAAAGAAATCTCAAACGAGTATACCATTTGACTTTGCGAGAGTATAAAATGTACATCCGAACTTAGCCCTTCCTTACTTGTTTTTTATTGCAATTTGTATGCAGTGTGGAAAAAATACAAGTGAAATTTATGAGCTTCTCTAAAAATTTACTATTTAATAACCCAACGATTACCCTCCTCCCGCCCAACCGACGCGAGGGGCGCAATCCGCATACGTGCGGAATTAGCCGAGTTAGAAAAGGCAAGAGAGTTTTTTAAGTGTTGAGATCTAAAACTGCTCAGCTACAGAAACAAAAATTTCAAAAGCTAAGATCTAAAGTTACAATATAATAAATTGTTACATTTTCATTTGTTAAGAGAAAACAATAAAGTCTTTTTAATTTTGAAAAGTGAGTCAGATAAGTCAAATGTGCTGGATTTTGAATTAAATCATGACATCATGACATGACGACCGAATGGCTCGTTTAGTTCAAAATTTGATCTACAGGATTTTAACAGTAAAGGTCTAAACTGCCTCGAAAAGCGAACCGGGATATTAAATTTAATTTCAGACAGGAGAAAAGAACTGCAAACAGTTCCATTCAAAAGTTTCACTAAGAATGTTTTGCCAAGCATTTCTCTACGACTAGAAAGTGTAGGTAGATTAATAAGTTTTAAACGACTAGTGTATGGAGGTAGACTTACCCTAGCATCCCATCGGAAATGCGCTAAGGTGAAAAGTAAAAATTGTTTTTGAACCGACTCTAACTTGTCAAAATGGATTTGGTAGCTAGGGTTCCATACCACAGAGTCATATTCCAATATAGGTCTAACCAAAGTTGTATAAAGTGTTTAAGTAATATACGGATCTCTAAATTCTTTAGACCAACGTTTAACAAAACTGAGGACAGCTTTTGCTTTCAAGACCATGGTATCAATATGAAGACTGAAATTAAGCTTAGGGTCCATATTAACTCCCAAATCAACATAGTTTAAAACTTGCTCTAGAATATGGTGTTTTATTAGATAAGAAGAGGGGTGCACAGATCTACGGGAATAGCACATCGTCTTACATTTATTGAGATTCAATGGCAAATCATTTCTATCACACCATGCAACCAAATTGTTTAAGTCTGTTTGCAACAGACACCTTTCCTCAGTTGAAGTGTATGATTTAAAAAGCTTTACATCGTCAGCGTATAATAAAAATTTACTTTATCGAAAGCTTTGCTAAAGTCTGTGTATATAACATCCGTATGCTTATGTTCCCTAAAATCCAATGATACATGGTTTACAAATTCAAGCAGGTTTGTTAGAGTCGATTTCCCTTTACGAAATCCATGCTGAGATGAGGATATTATCGGAGAAATCGAAAAGGTTATATGGTCAGTGATGATAGCTTCAAAAAGTTTAGGTATAACTGATAGTTTTGCGATACCTCTATAGTTTTCAATGTTGGATCTAAATCCACTTTTATGCAAAGGGATTATAAATGACTGTTTCCATATTGAAGGAAATATACCCTGTTTAAGAGAGGAATTAAATATCCTTGTCAAAGGCAAATAAATATATTTGGCACTATTTTTTAGGAAGCATGAGGGTATCATGTCTGGGCCATAACTAAAAGATGGTTTTAACTTATTTAAATTAAAAAGGACGTCTTCTTCAGAAATAATTGGAGCGTTAATTAAATTATTCGAACACAGCACTTGCTGATAAGAAAAAGTTTTGGAAGAATTATTACAGTAGTTTGACTTGAAAAATTCTGCAAACATATTGGATATAATATCATTGTCACTTGAAATGATAGATTTGTATTTCATTGCGGACGGAAATTTGGAAATCCTGCGTTTGGAGTTGACGAAATCATAAAACGATTTTGGATTATTTACAATATTTTTTTTTTACTTTATTTAAGTAATTATTATAACATTTTTTGTTTAGGTCAAAATATTGTCGACGCAATAAAGAATATTTAGAATAGTCGACAAGTGAACCGGTTTTTTTAAAATGTTTAAAGGCTCGAGTTTTTCTGTTTTTCAATTTATATAACTCTTTCGAAAACCACGGACTTATACTTTTGCTTTTATTAACAATTACTATTGGAACATACTTTTCAAATAATTTTATAATAATGTTATTAAAATGAGAGACACTCAATTCAATGTCACCATTATAATTAGGCCATGTTATTGTAGAAAGTTCTGTATTTAATTTTTTTAAATTAGCTTTTGCAAAGTTAAACCGAGTACAGAAGCACGAAGTTTGATGATTATTATCCCGTACAATGCCTGAGATTTCGACAGATATTTCCAAAGCAGGATGATATGAGTCCTCTGGTATGGTACTATGTCCAAAATGTTTGTTTGTTGCCCTCCAAATCTATAGTAATTAAGACTAAGTTGTTGGCATAGTAGATCTTGCAATACAGTTAGATTTACCTTCGGAAAGACTTTACATTATTTGCATTCCTAATATTTATTATGATTTTCAGAAATTCATTTTATAAGAAACTTTCCTATTATTTTTTCAGATCCTTATAGTTGAAATTGTGAAGGTGAACAATGCCAAGCCTTCAAACGAGGATATCATTACACGACGTCAGTATATCTTCATGGACTACGAAATTCCTGTTTGGATGGTGCATTGCTATAAAAGTATTGGAGTTTTCGGATTCGGAGCAGCAGTTTGTCAGCTAATGACAGACATTGCTAAATACTCTATAGGACGACTGAGACCACACTTTTTCGCCGTAAGTAGAAGCTCCCTTTTCGTCGTGTAGTGTGTAGCGTGTGTAGCGTTTTAATGAAAATGGGAAAACTGTGAGCAATTTTAGGGGCAATCAAAACTGTCATCCTCAAATCATACGACAGTGGTAAAATATGGGCCAATTAACATGCATACTTATCTATAAGAATGTACATGTATACGAGAATAAGTCTATATGGGTTTCCATTTGTACCCATAAAACATGTGCAAATACGAACAAATGAACATACGAATGATGGTTTGGTTTTATATGTAGAAATGTACTCATTTGACTTTATGTTTCCAATGTTGAAAGGGGAGTTTAAATGTGCATGTGGCCTTTAAAATACTCATCATAATCATTACCATAATTCATATAAAGATTGAGTGTAGATTTTTTACTCTTGCAACATGTTTTTACTTGCAATATAATAGTTTTGTTCACGTAACGGTTGTATATATCACCTTAAAATAATCGAGTTAGATATAGGGTTATATATATGTGTATATATAAATGATTAGGATGATGAGAAGAGTTGAAAAACGAGTGACTGTCTGTCCGTCTTTGCAAGCGGTAAGATATCTTAATGAAGCTTGGTCCACGTGTTCCTTGATAAAAAAGTAGGGACGAGTGCGTAATTAATCGAAAACCTATAAAATTCTATAACTAAGCAATGAATTAAGATATAAAACTGTAATTTGGTTCAGGGAATTGCAGTAACAAGGCCCCAGTGGTGCGTGACCCCGCCCTCTAATAATCTCCTAAGCCACTAAAGCTACAATAACTAAATTCGCTTACGACAATTCCTGTAAGAACTCCTACCAACAGTGTGAAAATGGATAAAATCGGATTATAATCCGGCCCTGTCCCCATATAACGGTTTTGTTAAAAACTACTAAAAACGCGATAAATCAATAAATAAATGCTCCAGAGACATTAAATTTTACTCCAAGGATGACATAAGAGGGCTTTATAGGAGCCAGGATTAAAATGGGTGTGGCACCACCCATATTTAGGAGAAATCACATATCTCCGGATCTCCTCGACCAAATTCGGTGCAAAATATTATCCTGATGATCCTATATTACACTATGCAATCAGACAACAACCACTCCTACTTGCCATATAGCACAACTTTAAATTCCATTAATTCTTTCATTTTCCAGTACACAAATCAAGAACCAATGAATATAGTTCGATAAAATTTTGCATAAATAGTGCCTTTGAGGTATGCCATCTCGAGCCTACAAATTGACAAAATCGTACCATAACTGTTCAAGCCTTCACTTACCGAAGTGCGTATTGCTGACTTTTCAGTCAAACTGTGTATATTATTGAAATTCGAGGAAAATATTTTCTTTGATAATAGTATACCCTTTTGTCAAAAAAAGGTTGAATAGGATCAATACTTCTCTTAGCCCCCATATATCTAATATAAAGGTATTTAGCCGGCTTTATAGTCGTAGTATAAAATATACCTAATAGTTGCTTGTAACCCTTTAGATATTGCCAATGAAAGGACCGACCAATAAATGGTGTCAAATAGTCATAACTAACTAAATTATAAAAGAAAAGTTTAATAGTGATGCTTTAGAAATTTAAATGAGGCTTCTCAGCAAATTTTGCGAAAACAATCCATATCACTATCTTATGTTACGGTGCTATGGGCAATGAAATGGAATAATTGGTAATAACCACGTCCACTTCGCACAAATAATTTACATGTGTCCATACATATATACTATACAAAAGTTTTAACGATTTTATATTATTGAATAAAAGCACACATTTTTTTACTTCCTTATACAATAAACTTCGGTTGAACCGAAGCTGTAATACCCTTCACAAATACAAAATAGTCCTTACACGAACATGATTTTTATTGGTCAGTTTATATGGCAGCTATTGCTTTAGACATTAACCCATCCCAAATTTCCCTTTCCATACAAGTAATTTTTTCCGATAATTCAGTTTGTATGACAGCGATATCTCAAAACTAAGGGATTAGTTCGCGTATATACAGACGGACATGGCTCCTCATGTTGATCATTTATATATGTATGTATAAATTCTTTACATTGAGTACCTTAAATAACAAACAACGGTGATTTGTCAGTACTCGGTTTATAGAAGAACATGAAGATTATGTCTTCTGATTATGATGATATTCCTATTTCATCATTAATTCAAGATTAAAATATCTTGGCAATAAGGAATGGAGTTATTTCCAAATGTAAATAACGATAAATTATATGCTTAGAGCATTTCAAATATATATACATATATTTTTTAACATTTGCGACTTAAAATCTCAGTCAGATTTGAACAAAATATCAGACAGGATTCTGATGAGGTTAATGATCGTATACCCAAAAATTAAACATAAAGGCGCAGAAAAATTTCGATTTCATACAACTTATTGTATTGACTGAATTCAGGAAGAAGCCATATAATGTAATCTTAGTCTTCCAACAAAACAAATAACGTTTAATAAATATTTTAAATTCTTATAGAAACTTATATTACTGGTATAAAAACTTTTTAATCTTATTTTTTTTAAGCACAATACTTCCTTTAAGGTCACAGGCATAAGCACTTTGAATTGTTTCTTTTTCGTTTTTTTTATTTTTTAACAAATAATTCAATAAACAATGTAACTACAATTTTCGAATTCTTTACACATTTTTATTAAAAACAAGTAAGAAAGGGCTAAGTTCGGATGTAACCAAACATTTTATACTCTCGCAAAGTCAAATGATATACTCGTCTGAGATTTCTTTATAAATTTTAATAGTTAGAAATAGGAACTGTAGCCTCAGTTATTTAGACAATTTTTGGTCACAAGGTGGCATACTTTAAACGCATTATTCACGCAAAGTTTTATCCCGATACAATCATTGTTGCTTGATTAACATAGTGGAAGGTGAAAAAATCAGATGGAATTTAAAATGGTGTTATATGCCTACTTTCGCACTATAACATAATAATTTGGTTGAAATCGGCTAAGCAGATCCCAAGGGTTTTCACCTAAAAGTGGGCGGTGCCACGCCTATTGTATAATTTTGAAGTCGGTTCCTATAAAGTCATCTCATAACATCCCAGAGATAATATTTAATGTCTCTGGCGTGTTTAGTGCTTGATTTATCGCGCTTTTAGTAGTCATGTCTACCAAGTTTCATAAATATATCTAAATTTTTACTCAAGTTACAGCTTGTACAGGCAGACGGACGGACGGATTTCAACTCGTCTCTTCATCGTGATCATTTACATGTATATAACCCTATATCTGACTCGATTAGTTTTAGGTGATACAAACAACCGTTAGGTGAACAAAACTATTATACACTGTAGCAACATGTTGCGAGAGTATAATAATCACGAAAATACATACGTACAACTACTACTATAATAATACATATATATATATAATATTTATGATGGGTTCACCAATGCCGATGGGTTCACCAATCCACTCACATTTATTATGTCAGTACTGACAGTCAAATGACTGTCAATGTTTATACGTTGAAAGGAAACAGCATACATTTCCATAAAAGTTTCGAGAAATTGTGAAATACTATATAAGTATTGTGTGTGTATGTTATTTCGTGCGATAAACCAAAAGTGTTGCGGCTCCTGTGCAATAACTCTTTTGTGTGTAAAAAAATAAAAATATACCGAGGGAGTTTTCAAATATAATATACGTAAGTTATTATTAAGTTTAAAATAAAATTTATCCTTCTTTAAAATTGATCTAAATACGATGCTATGAAAACGCAGACCAACGGTAATCATATTATTTCAAAAGAGCATAAGTCAATTTTCAATAGCAAAGCACTGCAAAACGCGACAACATTACCGACTGACATTGTTGATTCAAACAAATTTTGTCAACTCCGCGACGATGCGATAAATTCGCCGTCAATAGTATGCGAGCTCGTATGCATGTACTTATGTTTGTCGTCAAATTGTCATTTGTTTTTTTTCAACGATTTGTCAGAACTCAATTTTTTGCTCCGCCTCAGGGATATAGAACTTCCAACTGAGGATTTATATTATATTATTATATCGCTTAATTTGTAAAGAGAAATACTGATATCTTAGGGCTTATTTATATAATACTATAATATTTACGTAAAAAAAATATAAATGCACATATAGGCAATTCACAAGCTTCGCCTTATGTCTAATGTCGTATTTCAATAGTCTTAAAAAATACGACACTTGTGAGCACCCCTTAATTGTTGTGTCATATTGTGTACTATTTCTTCACTTCACCAGCTGGTCGTGAAAAATTAAGAATACTAAAGTGCCACGAGAAAGTGACAAAAATAAAATAAGAAATTGATGAAATTTATTTATTTTAGACACTTAAAAGTCAGCGATAAAAAAGTAAACAGATACAGCTAATAGGACAGTAAAAAAAATTTGAACAATAAAATTCATTTGAGTAATAAAAAAATATCTGAAATAATTATGTGGCAGTGCACCCCTCGACCCCTCCTCGATCGCTGGAATCGTTTAACTTGCTTCGTTCTAGTTGTCCTCGCAAAAAGAAAAAAATTAATAGTTCAAACAGTCACCAACACAAAGCCGTGAACGAATCAGCTGATACGACCTATCATATGAGAACGCAATGTAAATGAACACTCACCTTCATTGACATCATCTTCATTGTCTTCTTTAGACAAAACTCCATCTGACACATCACGGTCGGCATAGAAGTCAATTGTGCTTTCACGTCAATTCAATTGCACTGTACCGCGACCAGTTGCTACAATATAATTGCTTCCAGTTAAAACAATTTTCTCAGTATGCCGTTCGAATTTTATGAAACTCGATTTATCACACAAATGTGCTGTTGCACCACTATCCAAGCACCAAACGTGTTTTGCAAAAGCACCGTTACAACATCCAAACACAGAGTACGATTTTTTTCGACCTTTGTTGTCATTGACGCTCGCGTTTTTTTCATTAACTTTTGCTCGACAAATCTTGGAACT